CCACCAGGACTGTGCCTCCTCGATGCTCTCCCTGCCACTCAACCCTCCCCAGCCCAGGTGGCCAGTGATGACGCGTGCAGAAAACTGAAGGCTGTGACTCACCAGAGCCAAAGGCCCTACTCAACGCCTGACACGGGGTGAAAACACGCCCAAACCCAAAGGTATTTAATCTCTTAGCTCTGAGGGAGAGAGAAGGTTCTACAGGCTTCTAAGAGAAATCAGGTCACAAATAAAGCATCAAAAATCCAAATGGGCTGGAAACAGTGACTCACACCTGCAATCCCAGCATTCTGGGAGGCCAAGGCAGGAAAATAACTTGAGGCCAGAAGTTCAAGACCAGTCTGGGTAATACAGCAAGACCCTGTCTCTATAAAAAACATTTAAAAACTAGCCTGGCATGGTAACATGAGCCTGTAGTCCCAGCTACTTTGGAGGCTGAGGCAGGAGAACAGCTTAAGCCCAGGAGTTTGAGGTTGCTGTGAGCTATGATGACACCACTGCACTCCAGCCTAAGATACAGAGTGAGACTCTGTCTCAAAGTAAATAAATAAATAAATAAAAATAAAATTGACCAGATACCTAAACAGCAATACACGGAAAACAAGACAAAGGAGACTTATACACAAAACTCTGAAGGAAAATAACCGCTGGGATGCCATGCCCAGTTAAAACATCAATGGCAACATCATCAGATGTGCAAGGTGCCTCACAATTGGTTCTTTCTCCTTTTTTAAAGATAGAGAATGTATTCCCCAAACAAGAGGGTAAACTAAGAGGAAGGCAAGGAATATCAGAAGCAGGAGACCTAGCATGGAAAGCAGAAAGATGACAACCTCCCCCAGACAAGGAGGCAGTCAGTCTGGACCAGATCCAAGGACCCAACAGGCAGACACACTTGGACTGCCATCGTCCTAGACTCACTGCCACAGCCTCCACAGCCCAGTTCCTGGACCAGCTGAGGGTACTCACTTCACTCAAAGACAGGCCCTGCTTTGACCTGCTCCTGGGAGCTAGAGGCAGGTCATGGGAACTCAGAAACAGAAAATCCAGGGCAGCCCACTCCCCCTGATCACATACCTGCAGATATCTAGTCTTTGTCAGTTGCCTCAACTATATTTCCCAGGACCCACTCATGACCTTACCTGTGACTGCCCCAAAGGGACCTTGAAAACTCTCAGAAAAGGTAAGGCATGCCCCAAAGACCATTTGGTGCCCTTGCCTGGCAAGCCTTCAGCCAGTCAGGCTGGTGCTGCCCTTCCCTTACACAGCCAAGGTTGGGACTTCCCAATGTATTCAAAGTAATCAATCTATTGTTTAAGGCTTCACACATAGGAGGCAGAACCATAAAGAAAAGCAAGGGAAGTGTACACTGAATGATTCCATTCATATGGCATTCTGGAAAAGGCACAACTCAAGGACAGTGGTTAGCAGGGGTTGGGGGAAGGCAGAGGAATGATTACAAAGGAGCAGGGGAGAATTCTGAAAGGTGACAAAACCTTTCTAGAACTTCATGGTAGTGGCAGTTATACAACTATGTGCATTTGTCCAAACTTGCAGAACTATACACTTAAAAAGTAAATGTTACTGTATGTAAATTATAATTGAATGAGAAAATAATTTTTTAAATTTTTTAAAAGAAGAAAGGGCCAGGCACAGTGGCTCATGCCTGTAATCCCAGTGCTTTGGGAGGCTAAGGCAGGAGGATCACTTGAGGCCAGGAATTAGAGACCAGCCTGGGCAACATAGTGAGATCTCATCTCTACAAAAAATTTAAAAATTAGCCAGGCGTGGTATTGCATGCCTGTAGTCCTAGCTACTCAGGAGGCTGAAGCAAGAGGGTCACTGAGCCTAAGAGTTGGAGGTTGCAGTGAGCTGCCATGATACCACTGAACTCTACCTAGGGCAACAGAGTGAGATTCTGTCTCTACAAAAATAGGAAAAGAAGAAAAAAAACACAAAAAAAGACATTAAGTCAAGTCAGAAATGATAGTTAGGGCTTCTAAGCTTCTGCAAATGTTCTAGTTCTTAACCTTAGTGGTAGGTGCACAGAGGTTCACCATTTATCATTACTCTCTATGGTACAAATGTATCTCATTCACTCTTCTGTATCTAACACATTTCACAATATAATATTTTTAAAATATTAAAAGTGTTTAGCACAAGGCCTGGCATACAATCACCCTTAATAACTTTAGGCTTAAGAAAAGTATTTTACGTCTTTCTGTGTACAAGTTAAGGCAACACATAATCAATTTTAGAAGCAGAATTTCTAAAGCCAATTCATAAGGAAGGCACTAGGATTCCCTGGTATGAGAGACACTATTCCACAGAATCAGGCCTGACACTTTGCCCAAGCCTTTGAAACCTTATAACCAACCCTATCAGCTGCAGAAATGAGGGAGGCATTCAAAGCTCTCCACAATCTGGATGTACCCACTACTTGCCCTTCCACAGTAGAATGAAGTAGAAGTCTTAAACTCCTGAATAGTATTTGATATGACAGAAATAAAATTCCACAGATATCAGAGAATAGTGAAAATAACTCCTCTAAGAAAGGTTATACATGCATTTCAAATCAATGTTTACTATATGATTCGCTTGGTCTCTGAAAATGGAGAAAGCAAAACTCTAAGATTGCTATATCAGAAGAAAAATAATGCTTTTTGAACGGTTGTAATATGTATCTTGACCAGGGAGTATATAGATTTTTAAACACTTTATTTAGACTATATGTGAACTTAATTTGTTTTAATTAATAAAACTAAATGGCTTTTAATGTTTTAACACTGATGTGTAATGAATGAAGTGTTATCTGCCACCAATGTTAAACTATCCCGACTTATTCAATATTGTGGGTAAACAATGGTAATAATATATAATACTACCAGGTAACACAGCAGAATGACATCTCTAGTAATTCCTTTTTTCCAGAGAACTTAAACTTCAAATAATTTGGAGACTATGGTTTTCATAGGTTCTATTTTGCATTCTTTTCTTTTTGTAATTACTGGGATATTATGATGGTTGTGATAAAGATTATATGGGAGTATAAAAAAAGTGTGCCTCTGATCCCTGAATGCCCTCCCTGCCGCTACGTGAGAGACTCCTCCTCATCTCTCCAGGCCTTATTTAAATGTTCCTCCTCTGTTCCCAGAACACACAGCTATAAGATACACATCCCATGTGTATCTTACAACACATTCTCTGTACTCTTGGCAGTGAAGCCAGTACCTGGCATGTTAAGTGTCAGGGACACCAATAATTGTGAAACCGCGGGAAAACAGACTGAAGAACTATTGAGCATTTCTCGCATCCCTCTCCCTTTGCCTGTCAGTCCAGCCCCGCGCTTAGCTCCTTGGCATGAGTGAGGGACGTCTCAATGGCCTCCCATTGGGGCCTGGGGTCCTCCCCCACACAGAGACCTTGCAGAGGAGATGAGACTTCTCAGACAAATTGGAGGAATAGAGCCACGATCTGAGAGCCAAGGGCCAGAGTCTTGGGTTCTAGGTCCAGTTCTGGCCGAAATCCGAGTCTTCCACACACCATCGGTCTCAGTTTTCCCTCCCACAAGGTGGAAGAGAACAGCTCACCTCTCGTTCTCAGAGTCGCTGGAAATCTCCTCATTCATCTTGCCGCCACCCTTGGATTTGCCCTTGTCCCCCGCAGAGTCGGCCTGGGAATCATACGATCCTTTCTTTGGTCACAGGTCCCTAACATCCTAGCACTGACGAAGGGCCCCTTCGGTCCCTCAAGAGCCCCAGGACTAAGAAAGCCGGTGGCTTCCGGGTCGAGCGCAAGGCTTTCTAGGATTTGGCCAGCGGAGAGAGGAACGAAGCTGACTCCAGCTGGCATCCCGGGCGAAGGGCTGGGGAAGGGCCCGGACCTGGGTCCCTCGGATGGGATGACTGTTGTCCCAGCAGCGGGACTGACCGTGGCCCATGGAAGCGCCATGCTCACCTTTCTCCGTCGCTTGCTGGCCCCCGCACTGGCGCTGGAGGCCGACTTTCCCCGCTTATAAGCTGCCACAGATGCAGACATGCTGCCTACGGCGTGTGTAGCAGCCACCGCCGGAGAACTCACGTGGCTGCTAAACCCCGCGCCGCTTGGCAAGACCCCCGGCCCTGATAGGCTTACACGGCCCGGCGGGCCCCGCCTCCCGCTACTCCATTGGGTTCTTCAGCAGACTTTGCCACGCCCCCAAGCACCCATAGGATAGACTCTTGTGGCCTCGCCTCCTAGAGCTCCTATAGGCTCCCGCGCCAGGCTCGAGTAGGAAGCAAGTGTCTTCACAGCGCTTCCGGCCGGAGGCTGTGGCGCATGCGTTCTAGTGCTGGCCGGCTTCTAGGGAGGGTCGGACAAAAAGGGCTTTCTCTGTGTTTGCGCCCCTTGGCCGCTAGGGCGTGCCAGAGATGCGGAGTTCCGCGTTCCAGGCATGACTCCCCGTCTTGGACCAGGGTGAAAATAAACTAGCCTGGCGCGGGACAACTGGGCAGGGGGCCAGGCGGCCGTGGGGAAGGCGAGGCAGTGCCCTGGGCCCTGGATATGTCCACATCGAGTGTTCACCCATGCGTCGGACAGGCCGCCCGACTTGGCCTGCACCAGCCCCTGACTCACGCCACTAGTGGCCAAATAGCTGGATTTCTACCCCGGACCCAAGCCCGTTTGCCGGCCTCTGGCGACGGATGGGAATTCCCTCCCTGAGTCACTCCTAAGGCTCAGAAGGTTGCTACAGGAGGCCGCAGACTTAGGACTGCCCTGTGAGGCTCACACAGCCAGGTTTGGTGGCAGTCACCTTTTCCAGGTCCCCGTTTCTCTTAGGTGAGTGTTCTAGGGCCCTGCCCAAAGCCCTGGGCAGAGCAGAGCAAGACCTGGTGGGACGTGGCTCCCTGCCCTCTGGCAGTTCAAAGCCACTGATTTGGAACCCTGGCTGACTCTGTAGAACTCGTGAGTCCATTGGGAAACGGTACTGCACCACTGGGTTCCAAGCTCTGGAGGGATACATCAGTCCCCAGGAGTCCTGCTGCTCAGAGCCGCAGGCCACCCTCCCCCATAGCTCTGGTGACTCAGCCCAGCAACCATACCAGGTCAAAGCTAGCTGGCAGACAGGGAAGAGTAGCCAGAGAGCATTCTGGACAGGGAGGAGCCCAGAAGTGGGAGGGAGAGATTCTCATTTCACTTTCCCTATCGCCTCAAGACACGCTGGAGAGCTGGAGAGGGTAGGGAGCCCGACTCTTCCTTGACCAGAGTGGGCAGAGTCCTGAACCTGCTCTGTGACTAGGGAAAGGGGCACATCTGAGGTACAGAGAGACCAGTTTGGTCTGGGGTGGGAATGGGGACCGGGCAGGCAGGGGAAGCAGTGGGAGGTCACCAAAGGGCAAACCCAGGGTGGGGCAAGTTGGTGTGCAGGCCAGGAGCTGGGGGGGCAGTGCGTGGTGATATTCGAGGGGCCACAGAGGCCTGAGGGCCCCTTCTGTGCCCCAGGACAGCATGGCTCCAAAGCGCAAGCCCTCAGTGCAGACTGAGGACCCTGAAAAGAAGAAGAAGCGGGGACCAGGGGAGGAGGACACATTTCGCTCCACTGCTGAAGCCCTCAGGGCAGCACCCGCAGAGAAGCGTGTAATCCGTGTGGACTCCGGGTGTCCACTCAGGGACAACCCTGGGACCCAGGTGAGCTGCAGCCCCCGGTCGAGCCCAGAGCCTGCTTCCCTCCCACTTAGGGCTCAACGCTGGTCATGTAGCTCAAGGCCCCCACGTAAGCTCCAGGGCAAGGCCATGTTCTCCTGACCCCAGAGGTCGGGGCTGTATCCCATCACATCCAGGTAGGTCATGTCTGCCCTTCAGACCCCAGGCAGGCCTCCCCTGACCTCACTTAGGGAAGGGCTCTGACTCCCTCAGGGGCTCACCCATGTCCACTCAAATCAGCATGTCAGGGCAGAGCCAAGTCCCTCTCAGATTGCCCCATGTAGGGCATGGCTGTGTCCTTCCAGAACCCCCTACTCCCCATGCCAGGTTTAGCCATGTCCTCTCAACTGCGTCCCCTAGAGCAGAGCCATGACACCCCAAGCCCTTCCCAGTGCAGTCAGACTCCTGTCCCCATCGGAGCCCTCGAGGAGTGCAGCCAGGCACCCCGTCCAATGCCAGCGGCCTGCACCCCTCTCTGGCGCAGGTATACGAGGACTATGACTGCACTCTGAACCAGACCAACGTCGGGAGCAACAACAACAAGTTCTACATCATCCAGCTGCTCAAAGAGGGTGACCACTTCGTCTGCTGGAACCGCTGGGGCCGTGTGGTGAGTGCCCCGAGCCTCAGCCACCTGGGCCCACCTCTTCTGCTCAACACATGCTCCCCAGTGTCCCCACAAGGCCATAGCTGCTGACTGTCCCCTCTCAGCAGTGTCCATGGGCACTTAGCACAGGGCCTGGCCCAGCACAGAAGCCAACAAACATGTGGTGGGCACTGCAGTGGGCACACCCTGAAGGCTGTCGGTTGCAGGGAGAGATGGGCCAGTCGAAGATCAAACAGTTCAAAAAGCTAGAAGATGCAAAGAAAGACTTTGAGAAGAAATTTCAGGAGAAGACCAAGAACAGCTGGGCAGAGCGGGACCACTTTGTGGCCCACCCTGGAAAGTACACGCTTATCGAAGTGCAGGGAGAGGACGAGGCCCAGGAGGCTGTGGCGAAGGTGAAGCAGCCAGGGTGGGCGGCTTGGCCCTGGGCTGAGGGAGGGGACTGGGTAGAGAGACCCAGCGGGTTGGGCTCTGCTACCACCCAGCTGTGCACAGACCTCCCTCTCCAGCCTGTCTAGTGCCCCGCTCTGCTGCAAGAGCGAGTGCCTGCCCAGCTGCTCCTGCCCATGTGTGCCCTATCCCCAGGTGGACGGAGGCCCCGCAAGGACTGTGGCTAAGCGGGTGCGGCCCTGCTCCCTGGACCCAGCCACACAGAAGCTCATCACCAACATCTTCAGCAAGGATATGTTCAACAATGCCATGGCCCTCATGAACCTGGGTGAGAGGGGAGGGGCCAGGCAGGGTGGCAGGGGCCCCAAGGTGGCAGGGCAACAGGGCTGTCTCCCTACTCCACTGTCCCCCCAGATGTGAAGAAGATGCCCCTGGGAAAGTTGAGCAAGCAGCAGATTGCACGGGGCTTTAAGGCCTTGGAGTCACTAGAGGAGGCCCTGAAAGACCCCATGGACGGTGGCCAAAGCCTGGAGGAGCTGTCCTCCCACTTCTATACTGTCATCCCACACAACTTCGGCCGCAGCCGACCCCCACTCATCAACTCCCCTGACATTCTACAGGCCAAGAAAGACATGCTGCTGGTGAGGGCTGGCGGGGTAGGCAGGCAGGGGGACACCAAACAGTCAGGCTGGGCAAGGGAATGAGGGACGGATGGCCCAGGCCCAGAGGGGTGGACTGTGATGGGCAGGCTGGAGGACAGGGCAGGGGAAGGCCAGGTGGATAGACCGGGTGGGGATGGACAGGCGGACAAACAGGTGGGGTGGCTGCACTACCATCACATCGGAGAGGAGAGGGGAGGCTGGAGATCAAGTGGGCAGACAAGTGGCCAGTGCCTGTCATCCTAGGTGCTGGCAGACATCGAGCTGGCCCAGACCCTGCAGGCAGCCTCTGAGGCGGAGAAGATAGTGGAGGAGGTGCCACACCCTCTGGACCGAGACTACCAGCTTCTCAAGTGCCAGCTGCAGCTGCTGGACTCTGGAGCACCTGAGTACGAGGTGGGCTGGGCCCCACAGAGGAGCCAGGCTAGCAGTGGGCACCGTCCCTCTGCCCACCTGCCTTTGGGGTGCCCAGAGGAATCCTCGTCCTCAGCCTTCTCTCCCTGTGACTCCAGGGCCTGGGGGAGCTCTGGGACTAGGGGAACTGGAGGGGGCTTAGTGCCCAAGCCTCCCACCCTTGGTGCCCAGCTTCTGCTCCCCTCTCCCACAGGTGATTCAAACCTACTTAGAACAGACTGGCAGCAGCCACAGGCGCCCTACTCTTCAACACGTTTGGAAAGTGAACCGGGAAGGGGAGGTAAGGAGACTCACCTGACCCCCACCACCACTCTGTCCCTCAGGGAGACACCCTTTGCTTATCTGCCCCTTGGCAAATGGCTTAGCAACTCCGACCAGTTTCTATCAGGCCGGGAGTGTGTGTGAGTGCCCAGAGGGGCCCTAGGCCTTGGTCGTCCCATATGAGCAGCAGGGAGAGGTGCCTGAGCTGTGGGATGGCTATAGTCTCCCATCTCCCACCCCTCCCCTACTCAGGGAGACAGGTTCCAGGACCACTCCAAGCTGGGTAATCGGAGGCTGCTGTGGCATGGCACGAACGTGGCCGTGGTGGCTGCCATCCTCACCAGTGGGCTACGCATCATGCCACATTCTGGTGGCCGTGTTGGCAAGGGCATCTACTTTGCCTCGGAGAACAGCAAATCAGCTGGCTATGGTGAGGCACACCCCCTGGGGCAAGCCCTGGCGGGCATGGAAGCACTGAGGTGGACTGGACCCGGTCCCTGCCCATGGGAACTCACAGTGGATCCGGGAAAGGAACCCTCAAGTGGTTACAGACCAGAGTGCTCAGTGGGGCATCCTGGGGCTTGAGGGGACTCAGAGGAGGCACCTGGTGGTCAGGGACAGCTTCCTGGAGGAGGCAATACAGATAAGATGAGCACACCAGCCAGACCTGGGAGGGGTCTAGCTGGTGCGCTCGTCCTATCTGTAACTGGAGGGCACAGGGAGGCTCAGGGGTGGCACTCAGCCCTCAGTCTCCCCCAGGAGATTTCAAGGCCAGGGACGGACACAGAGGCTGGGGCTGTGGCAGGCCAGGACTTCTGAGCGCTGCCTTATACTGAAGCTCAGAGCAGTGCCTAATGGGGGTGGGGGCTTTGGGGCCCTGGATGATCAAGTGGGCCTTATCCAGAGAGCAATGGAGGACCCGAGTGGACTTATCTGTAGCAGATTTCAGTGGCTGCAGCTGTGAAGAGGAAGGCAGGGGCTGGAGGCTGCAGGGAGGCCGTGCTGTGAGCCAGGCCAGATGTGATGGTAGCTGGCCCAGGGCTGTAGAGGGACTTGTAGGTGGGATGGGCAGTACATGGGAAAGGGTCAAAGGTGTCTCCAGCAACTTCTGAGTGTCTGGTCGAGGGTGACTTCCCCAGATGGGCTCCTCAGCCCAGGCTGACCCCATCATTGGAGGCCACCACCTAGCCAACCTGGAGAGCTAGGTCCAAGGCTCCATCCAAGGACAGATGGGGCTGAAGTTCTAGGATATCTGAGGATGCCGAGACCAAAGGGTCTACAGGACCAGCAGAGCAGGCCAGGGAGAAAAGCCCCCTCCACAGGTTTGGGCACTAGGAGGCCACTCCTGACCTTGGAGAGTACAGCAGAGGGTGCAGAGGCCTGGCCACAGGGAGCAGGGTGAGGTGGAAGGGAGCAGGCCAGGACGGGGGAGTGGGGAGGAGGATTACTGCTGGAGGAGAGTTAGCCTTTTCTGGGTGGGACAGCAAAGCCAGAGAGATAGCATTGCTGCAGAGAGGGCCCTGGGAGCCAGGCAGGAGGAGGGCTGAGTGCCACCCCTGAGCCTCCCTGTGCCCTCCAGTTACTGGCATGCCCTGTGGGGCCCACCACATCGGCTACATGTTCCTGGGTGAGGTTGCACTGGGCAAAGAGCACCACATCACCATGGATGAGCCCAACTTGATACATCCGCCCCCTGGCTTTGACAGTGTCATTGCCCGAGGCCACACAGAGCCTGGTGAGTTCCTAGAAGCAGGACATGCCTAAGGATAGAGATGGGGTTAAGATAGGAGACTGGGACGTTTTCAGGGAGGAGGTAAGCTGGGACAGGGCTGTGGAGAGGGACAAAGAGAAGTAGCCTTCTTCACTTTGTCATTCAACAAATATCCACTGATTCAGAAAATTGTTTTTGGGCACCCAGGAAGACTTGAAAGAGAGGCACTGTTGATTGAGCATTGAAACATGAGTAAGAGTTTCTCAGAGAGAAATGGGGGAGGATCTTCCAGACAGAAGGCCTCAGCCGTGCAGTGCTATGGCGGTGCACCAATGAGCAGGCATTGCCCATGGCAGAAGTGGAGCAGCCGGGCGGTGGCTCACGCCTGCAATCCCAGCTCTCTGGGAGGCCGAGGCAGGAGGATTGCTCCAGGTCAGGAGTTTGAAACCAGCCTGAGCAAGAGCGAAACCCCGTCTCTACTATAAATAGAAAGAAATTAATTGGCTAACTGATATATATAGAAAAAATTAGCTGAGCACGGTGGCGCATGCCTATAGTCCCAGCTACTTGGGAGGCTGAGGCAGTAGGATCGCTTGAGCCCAGGAGTTTGAGGTTGCTGTGAGTTAGAACGACGCTATAGCACTCTAGCCCGGGCAACAGGGCAACAGACTCTGTCTCAAAAAAAAGAAGTGGAGAGCAGAGGGAGCAGGACTTACTCGTAAGGTCAGAGACCAGTGACCTCTGGGTCACCTGTGGCCCTTGCTGTGCCCTGCAGATCCGACCCAGGACACCGAGCTGGAGCTGGATGGCCAGCGAGTAATGGTGCCCCAGGGCCGGCCCGTACCCTGCCCAGAGTTCCGCAACTCCTCGTTCTCCCAGAGCGAGTACCTCATCTACCAGGAGAGCCAGTGTTGCCTGCGATACCTGCTGGAGCTTCGCCTCTGAGCTGCCCATGCTGCCCCCCGAGTCCTGCTAGTAGAGGCTGGACCATGATCTTCCAGTCTTTCTGCCCATCTCTGGTACCGCATAGCACCCTTTCTTTTGTGTTTCCAGAATACAACACATTGTTATGAACTATAGTCACCATGTTATGCAGTAGATCTGAATTTATCCTCCTGTCCAACTGAAATTTTGTATCCTTTGACTCATATCATCCCAACTCCTTCCCCACCAGCCCCTAGAAAGCACCACCCTACTTTCTACTTCTGAGTTCAGCATTTTTAGTTTCCACATGTAAGTGAGATCATGCAGTATTTGCGTTTCTGTGCCTGTTTCACTTAGTAATGTCCTCCAGGTTCATCCATGTTTTCAGAAGTGACAGGATTTTTTTTTTTTTTTTTTTTTTTTTTTTTTTTGAGACAGAGTCTCACTTTGTTGCCCAGGCTAGAGTGAGTGCCCGGCGTCAGCCTGGCTCACAGCAACCTCAAACTCCTGGGCTCAGGCAATCCTACTGCCTCAGCCTCCCGAGTAGCTGGGACTACAGGCATGCGCCACCATGCCCAGCTGATTTTTTGTATATATATTAGTTGGCCAATTAATTTCTTTTTTTATTTATAGTAGAGACAGGGTCTCGCTCTTGCTCAGGCTGGTTTTGAACTCCTGACCTTGAGCAATCCACCTGCCTCAGCCTCCAGAGAGCTAGGATTACAGGCATGAGCCACTGCGCCTGGCCAGGATTTCATCTTTTTAAGACCTTTATTTTTTAAGGCCAAATAGTATTCCATTGTGTAAATATACTACATTTTCTTTATCAATTCATCCATTGATGGATACTTAGTTTGCTTCCACATCTTGGCTTTTGTGAATAGTGCCACAGTGAGCGTAGGCAAGCAGGTATCTCTTTAGCATACTGATTTCATATCCTTTGGCTATATGCTCACTAGTGGGATTGCTGGATCCATATCACCCCTTCTTGCCAGGCCCTCCTGTGTCCCAGACAGTGATCGCCCTTCCCTCTAATTCCAGTTAGCCCAGCCATGGCTGTGGCCCCAAAGTCTTGCCTACTAGGGTGATGGGCATGGGGGGACTTATTACTGGGAACAGGCCCAGCAGCCTACTCAAAGCTATGTGGTCACAGGGGCACAGGCCAAGAGTGGGTCCAATCCCACACCCACCTAGGCTGTCCATCCTGGCCAAGAGAGGTGTGGTCAGACATGCACAGGCAGGCTTATTAAACATGGTGTTCTCTCCCCCAGCCTCTGTGCCACAACTGTGCCAGCCTGGCCTCCTTTCCCTGCATGGTGAGGCAGCGTGTGGCAGCTCCAACCCCACTCCAGGGAGCAAGCCCTCACATGGGTTGATGTGGGTCACACACACACACACCTGCCACCCTGCTCCATCACCACAGCAATCTGCCTCCTCTAATAATTGAGTCTTCAAAGACTCAAATTCTTCAACTCAGAAGTTTGTCATTTGGGGACCCACCTGGTGATTCTGTCTTTTAGCCCAGACATTGGCAGGTAATTCAAACATTCCTCGTGTCTTGGCACTACACATCCCTGTATATCTTAATCTGAACGCTGCAAACAAGGTGAGCATGTAGCAGAGGGTGCAGCTCTGTGTTCATGAAAGGAGGCTGTTTGGGCAGGAATGCCACGTATCACCCCAGGTAACCCTGTCATGAACGAGGGGCGCCATTGTTGGGGAGAAGGTCAGCATCCGGTCTAGGGTCATACGTTGCATTTAGTTGTTGTGCCTCTTTAGTCTCGTTTAATCTGAAAACATTCCTCAGCCTTTTTGTTTTCCTTTCATAACTTTGACATTCTGGACACTCTGGACAAGTGCAGGCCAGTGTCTTTATAGGATGTCTCTTAGTGTGGGTGCCTGATGCCTTGTCATGATTAGATTCAGGGATTGCCTGGGCAGGAACAGTATAAATAATGTGCCCTCAGTGAAGTCTGTCGGGAGTGGGGTGTCCCATTCTTGGTGATGATCATTAACTTTGATCACCTAATTAAGATGGTGTCTACCATGTTTCTCCACTGTAAAGCCACGAGTTCTGCCCTTTGTAATTAGTAATCTGTGGAGAGACATTATGAGGTGTGAATGTGCCATTCCTCATCTTTTACCCACTAGCTTTAATATCCGTTGATGATAATTTACCTGAAATTAATGACCTGAATCAATTTTTGGTAAGATGGTCACAAATGGTGGTTATTTTACTCTATCATTTCTTTTAAATTTATTAATATTCTCTTTTCTTTATTATCAGTATAGACTCATAGATTTTTATTTTATTCAATGGGTTATAATCTATTACTGTCATTATTTATTTTGATCCTCAAATTTTCCCAGATTTGCCCAGCAGAAGGTCCCTTCTGTGTCCCCATCATTTTTTGAGCACTTCCTTACTTTCTGGTATCACAAGATGTTCCAGGTTCATCTTGTACAAACCTGGCATCAGCCATTTCTCCAAGGAGTCCTGGTTTCCTAGAGCAGGAATTGGTATTTAGAATCCAAGATCTGGGCAGTAGATGTGTTCCTCGGTATTGGGGTGTCATTGTGTTTAGCAAAGAGAGCTGGGAAATATGTATGTAAAAATATATGTGTATATTTTTTGAGACAGAGTCTCACTCTGTTGCCTGGGCTAGAGTGCCATGGCATCAGCCTAGCTCACAGCAACCTCCAACTCCTGGGCTGAAGTGATTCTCCTGCCTCAGCCTCCCAAATGGTGGGACTACAGGCGCTCACCACCATGCCCAGCTAATATTTTGTTTCTATTTTTAGTTGGCCAGCTAATTTTTTCTATTTTTAGTAGAGAAAGGATCTTGCTCTTGGTCAGGCTGGTCTTGAACTCCTGCCCTTCAGGGATCCTGCCCACTCAGCCTCCCAGAGTAGTAAGATTACAGGCCTGAGCCACCACACCCAGCCTGTATGTAAATCAAACACCACAGAGTTCTTCCAGTCTTCCCCAATTCCATATTTCCTCAATTCTCAAACAGCAAGAACCTGGGGGTTTTTGTTTTATTTTATTTTATTTTTGAGACAGAGTCTCACTCTGTTGCCTGGGCTAGAGTGCCATGGCATCAGCTTAGCTCATAGCAACCTCAAACTCCTGGGCTCAGGCGATCTTTCTGCCTCAGCCTCGCAAGTAGCTGGGACTACAGGCATGCACCACCATGCCCGGCTAATTTTTTCTGTATATTTTAGTTGGCCAATTAATTTGTTTCTATTTTTAGTAGAGACGGGGTCTTGCTCTTGCTCAGGCTGGTTTCGAACTCCTGATGTTGAGCAATCCACCGGACTCGGCCTCCCAGAGTGCTAGGATTATAGGCATGAGCCACCGTGCCTGGCCAAGAACCCGGGTTTCCATCAACATCAATATGGTTACTTATTGCTCCATTCTACACAAAAAGGAGTTTCAGAATTGCTATACCCAAACCATTGTGACATTGTGAAAAGCAAACTTTCTAAGTAGAGGTCAGCGCTCCAGATTTATTTAATCCTTTTCTTTTTTTTCTTATCTTTTCTTTTTGTTTTGTTTTGTTTTGTTTTGTTTTTTGAGACAGGGTCTCACTCAGTTGCCGAGGCTAGAGTACAGTGACATAATTATAGCTCACTGCAGACTTGAACTCATGGGCTCCAGTGAGCTTCCTGTCTCAGCATGCCGAGTAGCTGGGACCACAGGTATACACACCATGCCCAGATAATTTTTTTATTTTTGTAGAGACAAGGTCTCATTATGTTGTCCAGGCTGGTCTCGAACTCCTGGCCTTAAGCAATCCAGCCTTGGCCTCACATAATGCTGGAATTATAGGCATGAACTACCCCATCCAGACCAGATTCATTTAATCTTATTCAAGATTCTCCTTTTGTCTTTAGACTGAAGGTCAATAGTCAAAATAATAGTTTGAATATAGGTGCAAATGTTACTTGGATCAGTTCTTTATTTCTCTTCAGTGTGGTTGTGTTATTCATTTGCAATACAGATAGGCTAGAGACCAGCAGTTACTTGTTAAAATAAAACAAAAAATGAAAAATATTTTAAATAATTTTTTAAAATAATTTTAAAAAAAGAAAAAAAACAGATAAGTTTATTTGTTTCTGTTTATATTCACTTTAGGGGATTTGCCCTTCTTTGTTAATTTATTGTTTTCAATATGTAGAACATTAACAAAGTTCAAAAAGGTCCAAACTATACAGGATGTGCTCAGAAGAGCCTCCTGTGCCCTCCACTTCATTTCTACCTGCTGGAAAAAGCCAGTTTCATTAGTTTCTGGTTTATCCTGTGTTTCTTTTGAAACTTTGCAATACACATGCATACATACACATATTACAAAGTATTTTTAATTTTTAATTTATTTTAATGGCTTTGGAGGGAGCATGCACTCTGAGACCCACCGCAGTCCTCATCCCTCTCTGTTGCCTTTCCTAGTCCACTTTTCTCACTTGCTGCTCCTACCTGGCCCTGCTGAGCTCTCCCCATATACCCTGGTAGCTCAGGGGCAGCCCCAGGCTTGCAGGCCAGACTAGGCAGGGACCAAAACCTCAAAAACCCAGCTTCACCTCCTACAGGCAGATGTCCATATTCAAGTTGTAGCCATAACAGGAAGAGGTGCCTTTTGGACAGAACTCTAGGAAGCAGGTGACCTGGATTCCAAGTCACACTCAGCTGTGTGATCTGGGATACATTTCTCCCCTCTCTGGACCCCAGTTCTCTCATCTAAATAATGGAGAGTTGGACAGAGGTACTTTGAATTCCAGCACAAAATGAGTGCAACCAGGAGGTCTATGTCCTGGTCTCCACTATCTAGATCTGTACAGATGCTCACTGTGTGCATGTGATGGGTTCTGGGGGCACAGGCACAAGTGAGACCAGACAAGGCCACTGCTCTCATGGAGCTTACATTCTAGTAAAACAGGCTCTAAACAAATGCATGCATAAACATGACATAGAGCATCAGGGAAAGTGCCAGGAAGGAAACTAAAACAGGGTAAAGGGTCAGCATGGTGGAAAGGTGGAACAATTTTAGAAAAGATGGTCAATGAAAGCCTCTCTTGAGCAGAGACCTGAATGAAGTAAGAGCAAGCCAGGAACTGATCCGAGGGAAAGGTGTTCTGGCAGAAAGAACAGCAAGTGCAAAGATCCTGAAGTAGAAACTGGTTTGACAGGTAGGAGGAACAGCAAGTCAGCGCCGTGGTGGGAAGTGTGGTAGGCACGAAGGAGGAAGGTGAGCTTAGAGAGGTGAGGAGAAGGCAGATAAGGAGGCCAGCTCATGTCACAGAGGAGCTGAGATTCTATTCTGACGATAGGGAGCCCTTGGAAGAATGAAAGCAGGATCATGCCCCCATCTGATCGGTTTTTAAAGGGATCCCCTTTAGCCCACTCTGTGTGGAGAGTGGCGGTGTGCCAGCTAAGATACAGTCAGCAAAACAGAAATTACCCTAGGTATTCCAGACAAGGGGAATTTGAGGCAGGGAAAGAAGTGAACTTCCAAATGGGAGATGATGGGGCAATCCAATGATGAGCAGCAGCAGGAAGCCACTACCACCATAAGGCTGGAGGGATAATGGAAGGAAATGGTGCTCTGATGCCCAGAGGCTAGGGTCACCCGCAGGAGCTAGAGACACAGAGGGGGCTGCCTCAAGGGAGCCCCAGGCTGAGCATGAGAGGAGAAATATCCTAACTTCTTCCCTCCTCCTACCCTCCAGTCTGATGCTGATAACTTGCATTGCTGAACATGCCCAAGTCAGTTGGCAAAGGAACCTGGGAAGTACAGTTCCCAGGAGGGCAGAGTAACTCTGGGAAGGAGTGGGGAATGGGTCTGAGGGCTAACAGGCAAATGACCAGCACGAGGTGCAGGAGCAAAGAAAGCTGAAATGGCCCAGGTGAGAGGTGGTGATGGCTGGGACGAGAGTAGTGGTGTGGTGGTGAGGAATGGCTGTATTCCAGAGATCTTGGTGGACTGGATATGGGGTGATGAGAAAGGGAGACATCCTGAAATGGAGTTTTACTAGGATGGAGAAAACCCTGGGAGGAGCAGATTGTCGAGGGCTCATGAGTCATGGTTACGTTTCAGACAGAGGAGGTTTGGGGTGCCAATTAGTCAACGTACTGAGGGAGATGTTGAAGAGGCAGCTGGATACCCAAGTCTGAGATTCAAGGAGAAGGAAGGAGCTTCAGATAGAAATGCAAGCTATCAGGGGTTTTGCCATGGGATCGGGTGACTTCACCTGGGGGCACCACTGGTTACATGGCTTTCCCTGAGTCGACCACCCTGGGGTGGGGACAGATGTCACAGACTCATTGGCCAGGGCTGGGGTTTGTGCCTAATCAGGAAAATGGAGGGTGGGAATCTTGTTCACTAAAACTGCATATCCTGAAAATTGGAGAGGTGTGGTTTGCCATTCTGTGCCACGTTAATATTAGCTGAGCACCTATTATGTGCCATGTCCTATGATTTTCCTTCACTTTTCCCAGACTCCTTTCTTTCTGAGAGAACTGGCCCTCCTGGGGGCCAGAGTATACCTAAGGCTCTCCCTGCTCCAGCTCTTGCTTCACTGGTGCCTCAGTTTCCCTCCAGTACAAGGGCTAAATAATGATTACCCTAACTGATGAGGTGTATTAGATGGGGGCCACTTCCCACCACTGGGAAAGGTAGAGCAGAGTCTGGCTGACTCCAAAGCCCACACTCTAACCATCTCAGCCTGGGCTCCTGGCCATGCCTACTCTGTCCCCAGCCCCCACCGCCCAGGAGCACCCGCAGGCTCTTCCACAGCAGAGCCTCCAGCCTCCAGCTGGCAGCTGCTAGGACCCAGGGGGCTGGCGCCAGGCCCTGCCCCTCCCTTGCCAGCCCTGTGTGTCTCCAAAGGGCAACATCAGAGTGACAGCCAGTACCATCTCCGACAGGGGCTGAGTGCTGGAGCTGGGCTGGGAGAGAGCTGGCAGGCTCAGCCTTGCACACTTCATGGGGCTGGCCGAGCCCCCAAGATGATGGCAGCCTGGGTGTCGGAGTCACCCCCTGGGCAGCCAATGAGGTGAGGGGCCAGAGGAGCAAGGGACAGGTGATGGGAATCCTGGAGCTATAGACTGCACTTTGCTCTTTGCATCCCAGCACAGGGTGAAGCCTGAGCTTTCCAATGGCCAACACCACAGAGCTGAACGTCTCAGAAGTTGCGAGCTCCATCCGGTTGATCCTGGCGGCTGTCGTGGAAGTGGGGGCACTGCTGGGCAACGGCGCAGTGCTGGTCGTGGTGCTGCGCACGCCAGGACTGCGTGACGCGCTCTACCTGGTGCACCTGTGCGTCGTGGACCTGCTGGCGGCCGCCTCCATCATGCCGCTGGGCCTGGTGGCCGCGCCACCGCCCGGGCTGGGCCGCGTTCGCCTGGGACCCGCGTCGTGCCGCGCCGCGCGCTTCCTCTCCGCTGCGCTGCTGCCCGCCTGCACGCTCGGCGTGGCCGCACTTGGCCTAGCGCGCTACCGCCTCATAGTGCACCCGCTGCGGCCGGGCTCGCGGCCGCCGCCGGTGCTCGTGCTCACCACCGTGTGGGCCGCCGCCGGGCTGCTGGGCGCGCTCTCCTTGCTCGGGCCGCCGCCCGCACCGCCCCCTGCTCCGGCTCGCTGCTCCGTCCTGGCCGGGGGCCTCGGGCCCTTCCGACCGCTCTGGGCACTGCTGGCCTTCGCGCTGCCCGCCCTGCTACTGCTCGGCGCCTACGGCAGCATCTTCGTTGTGGCGCGCCGCGCTGCCCTTCGCCCCCCGCGGCCCGCGCGCGGGGCCCGGCTACGCTCCGACTCTCTGGATAGCCGCCTGTCCATCCTGCCGCCCCTCCGGCCTCACTTGCCGGGGGGCAAAGCGGCCCTGGCCCCGGGGCTGGCCGTGGGCCAATTTGCAGCCTGCTGGCTGCCTTATGGCTGCGCGTGCCTGGCGCCCGCAGCGCGGGCCGCAGAGGCGGAGGCAGCTGTCACCTGGGTAGCCTACACAGCCTTCGCGGCTCACCCCTTCCTGTATGGCCTCCTGCAGCGCCCGGTGCGCTTGGCTTTGGGCCGCCTGACCCGCCGCGCGCTGCCTCGGCCCCCGCGGGCTTGTGCTCCGCAGGCCTGGCACCCGCGGGCACTCCTGAAGTGCCTCCAGGGACACCCAGAGGGCCCTGCCTTAGGCCCTTCTGAGGCACCAGAACGGCCCCCGGAGTTGGCAGGAGGGCGGAGCCTGAGTATGCCAGGGGCCACCTGAGAGCTCTCTCCTGAGCTGGAGAAAGGAGGGTGGTATCAGAGGGGGGCCCAACCAGCCCCTGCACAGGGGCAACAGCTGCCTGCCAGGACTCCTGGCTCTGGAACGGGAGAAAGGGTGCCTGCAGCCTGGTGAGGCCCACGGCTTCTGAAAGCCAGGAATCCTGGGTTCTGGGCCCAACACTGCATGGTCTTGTGCACAGACCGACACTTCCTTAGGCCTCAGTTTTCCCGTCTGTGCACTGCACCATCTCTAAGGGCCCATCCAGCACAGATGGTTTGTGAAACTCATGGATGGGCCCCCAGGCCAAGGGAAGAGAGAAAGTGGGCAGGGCCACAGAGAAGATAGCTCTAAGGGCTCACAAAGTGATAGGCCAAGTAGAGCAGGGGCTGGGTTATAACCACAGCCGGAGGAATCAGTGGAGAGACTCAGAAGGACTTCTCTGACATCTGCGCCATGGAGAGGCTGGACAAAGCTACTGAAACTCCTCCATTTGCTTCTAAAATGCCCAGAAACAACTGGATCAGTCTGGTGCTAGAAGCAAGAGGCTGGATGACTTGACCTGCACAGGGCCCTGAAGCTCCAGAACTGGTGTGGAAGGGGCTGAGGTCCAACTGGGGTTGGTGGAGTCACAGATGGAGGTCCTCTAGGCCCAGATGCACCCATTTTCTGGAGATTTTCCTATCCCCAACACCAGAATTTCACAACTTCCTGGTCGCTGAGAATATTTATTCAAAAACAGGGATTGAAAAAACTGTACAGAGTGTCTGCTGTTGAGAACTGGGCCCCGGCCCCGTGCCACTCCCCCAGCTACCCGGCAGTGCCCCCTCTTGGGGCACCCCCTGACAAGCCCAGCCAGTCCATTCCAGTCAAAAGGGTATCAGTGGAAGCAGCAGGAATCTGCAGGTGGTGGGGAGAGAAGCATGGCCCCAGCCACCCCCAGCCCTCCTCCCCAACTCCCACAGGGGCACAGCAGGCCGGGAAGCCCTAAGGGATGGGGAGTGCATGAGTGACACCCCCCATGGTGGGGTCACAAGGGAGGCCCCTGGCTGCTCCCTGTATCCAAGCACAGAGCTGAGGGGTGGGGCCCCCTGCCCCGGGGCTGCCGAGGCTCTGAGAACCCTGGGCCAAAAACTGCCGCTACTCTGAGAGGAGGAACTCCCATAGACTGAGGCAGGGTAGGGGGTGCATCCATGCTTCTGGGCATTAGCGGCGCTTGGGACCCCAGGCTGGAGTCTCCTGGGCGGGTAGGGTGCAGAGGCAGTCCCCTGCCGGTGGTCCTGCCTGCCCCTGCCTGTGCCTCAGCCAGCCTCAGTAGGGTGAGAATTTTTGCCGCTCAGCCTTCTTGCTCCCATTGGCCGCTGCCATCTTGGCCGTGTAGGCCGCCAAGCCCGGAGGCGGCCCTGGGGAGGCAGGTGGTAGAGCCAAGAAGGGCACGGGTTTGAGGCCAATGAAGTTGGAGAGGGAGATGGCATAGGGTGTGCCCAGCAGGCCTGGGGGAGCTGTGGGCAGGGCTGTCAGGGGCGGCGAGAAGGGGGCGGGCAGGTCTGCGGGGGCCGAACCAGGCGTCCCCCCAGAGGTAGACTTGGCCGTCTCTAGACTGGAGAGAGGGGAGATGAAGGGGAAAGCAGACGTGAGAGTGGGGCAATGGGGACAGATACAGGGCGTGAGATGACACGAAATGCAGTAGAGAGGAACTGAAGGGAGAACAATGACATGGGGTGGATATGTCTGGGGAGAAGGTGAGGATGGGAAGAAAGAACAAGCAGACACAGTGAGGGATGAGGGGAGACACAGGCAGGCCGAAGAAACAGCAATGGGGAAAGAGGACGTGAGGGATAGAGGGAGAAGGCGCGAAAACAGGTGAGTTAGGTAGAAGACTGTGGGGAAATGGCATAGGGCTGGGGAGGCAGAGGACAAGCCCAGACAGAGAAAGGAGGCCAGCTCTCCCCCCCACCCCTGCCTTTCTTGGGCACATGAGCCCTATGACCTGTCCCAGCCCCACCGCCCACCCCAGACTCACCAGGCAGTGATGAGGTACTGGGCCAGGGCGATGGAGACTGGAGAACCAGTGATGGTCACGTGCCGCTCGCCAGCGCCCTCCGCTTGGTTCCCAATCTTGATATGTGCCCCCGACATCTGCCGGATCTCGCTGATCTTGCTGCCCTGGCGCCCGATCACGCAGCCAATCAGCTAGGGGGAGGGCGGAATTCAAACCCTAGGCAAGGCCCAAACCCCCGTCCCCCTACCCACCCTCCAGCTACGCCATTCCCTGCTCACGTCATTGGGAACCAAGAACTCCTGTGAGCTGGTCTGTGTGCCGGGATCCAGTCCTGAGTGGGAGCAGAGGGATTGAGCGTGACTCTGGGCCTTTCCCACACCCCCATTTCCATTCCCCCTGGAAGGAGGGGGCTGCCCTTCCGGGATCTGCCCCTGCCTCCTTCTCCAGGGGCTACTCACCTGGCACCACGCTGGGAGAGGCAAAGGGGACTGCATGGCCCGAGAGCTGCTGGAGCTTGGTGACCTGTGCCAAAGAAGAGGGATGAGAGGTCAGAGGAGGTTTGGTTTCAGAAGGGGTGCCTTGGGCTGTAGGTCACTCACCTCAGCTGGGGTCACAGCCCCGTACTGACCCTGGACAGAGAAGCCCTACAGGGACAAAGTGGGCAAAAGCAGGGTTACTGTGATAGCTCAGGGCAGTTCAGCTAAAGTCATTCCTTCCCCCATCCCTGGAGCCCCGATTCCTTCTTCCATGCCCTCCTCCATCTCCAGGAATGTTCCCACCACTCCGCTGTCCCCCTCACCTGGTTGGCAGAGAGAAGGACTGTACCTAGGGAGAGGCTGGGATGATATGGGATAGTGGCTCCTTTGGGTGGGGACTGGAAGGCATAAATGGGGAGGCTCTGTCAGGACCCTCCCTGGCCCACTGACCTCCCCAGGTGCCCAGGTAGCCTCAAGGGCCTCATGACCCTCAGGAAAATGCATCTCTGCAGCCCCACCCTGCCCCACCTGGTGTCACATGCGTAGGGTTTGGGGTGCCCCACGAGGCAAGCCAGGGCCCATCTCCTGCCCCCAACTCCCTGCCCCAGGGCAGCACCTCCAGGATAACAGCGCAGATCTGGCGCACGCACAGGATGATGGCATCAGGCACCCCAGACACAGTGACAGCGCGTTCTGTAGAGTTAGGGAGCAGGTCCCCGGCCACTTGTACCTGGGCACCTGTAGTCTGCAAACAGAGAATGGGGGCTACTTCTGGCCACTCCTATGGCCCAGAGAAGAGCTACCCAGGTTCAGAGCTTCCCAGGGGGTAGGAAGCCGTAAGTCCAGTTCCCCTCTCACTGCTGGAAGGTGTGGCTCCCTCTGGGTCATATCCCCCTCCCCTCACCTCTCTGATCTCCTTGATCTTGGTACCAGCCTTCCCAATCAGTGAGCCACACTGGCTGGCAGGGATGACAAGGCGCAGTGTCACTGGAGGCCTGGAGACATTCCCACCATTTGCAGGAGCGGCACAAAGGTCCTGGGGCAGGGAGACAGTAGGTTGGCTGTGCACAGCCCTGCGGCAGCCCACCGCTGCTCAAGCACCTTCCCGCTGAGGGATGAGCAGGGTACCCCTTCCCCAGTCCCAGCCCAAGGGAACGCTGCCCTGGGCAGCATTGTCCTCCCCTCCTCCCACAGCCACTATCTGGAGTGGGAGTCATGTTCCTCCCAGGGAACCACCCCAGATATGCCATCCTGGCCAGCCACAGACCTCATCCAGCTTGAAAGCAATCATGGAGACCGCATGGAAGACGGCTGCTGTAGACCCGGTGATGGTGGTGATACGCTCAGGGCAGGAGCCCTCGGATATGGTGATCCGGGCACTGCTCTGCAGGTACAGAACGAGGGCCGGGCAGTGGGCACCTTCCCCGCTGCCTCACCAGGAACCTGTCTGCCTGCCCCTGTCGCCAGGCCCCAGCCAAGGCTTGAAACCACCACTCTCTGGGGCACTCACTGGTCAGCCCAGATGGAGTGGTTCAGGGAGAAGGTGGGGCAGGGATCTCCCCTCCACATCAGGTGCCCTGGGCTCCTCCCCCACACTCCATCCTCACCTGCTCGCGGATTCGCTTTACGGTCTCACCCTTCTGTAGAAGACAAAACAAAATCACTCTTAACCAGAGCAGCCATCACCTCCTTCCCTGGCACAGGCCTCAGGTGGAGGGGGATGCACAGAGCAGAACTGGCACCTACCTTCCCGATTATGCTCCCCACCTCCTGCAAACAAGACAAGAGTGGTCAGATGGGCACCAGTCCCCCAGGCCTCGCCCCCGACCCAGGCAGGGGCTGCACAGAAGATAGGACACCTGAGGTCATACTCATACTGTCCCAGCCTTGCCTGGCCCTCCTACCCACTCACCTTCCCATGCATCAGCATCCGCAGCGTGAGGGTGATGCTGAGCTCTGGTTCCTCCTCCAGCCCCGCATCTGAGCCACTCATCCTGTCAGGCGGGGCTGAGGCCACAGTGACCTGGGAGTGTGTCCACGCTGTGGCCTGGCTGGCTCTGGCAGAGGCAGTGAAAGAGGGGTTAGAGAGGAGCCCAGTTCATTCCGCTTCTGTCCTTCCATGGGGAACCCAGAGCCAGGCTAGCCAAACTCCCAGAGAAGGGAAACTGCATGGACCTTGAACTCTAAATGTCCCTCTGGCCAATGTGCCCATGTTTGTCTCACTAGCTGTGTAACACTGGACAGGTCATGTAACCCTTCTGAGCCTCGGTTTCCTCATCTGTAAAAGGGAATACCGATTCCTATTCCCGAAGAGTTATAAGAATTAAAGTGAGACAAGCACTATGTGGTAGGTACCTAGGCCCCATGAGCATCCTTCCCTTCTGTTACATTAAAAGAAAAAATTCACTAGAAAGACCAGGAGAGCCCAGAGAGGAGAGCCTCCTCCCTAACCTCTTGGGAGAGGAGACCTCTGTGGATCAGGCCTTGAAGGTAGAGTTAAAGGTGAAAGATTACTCCAAGCAAGAGGAGGTCAAGTCCAAGGCCCAGAGCGCCCACTGATTACAGTATAGAGGAGCAGCTGGAGAGGAAATTGGAGCAGCCATGAGAGGTCTTGTAGGAAGGGTAGCCTCAAAAATGATAAGGCTTTAGGAGGGGCCCTCATGCCCCCTGCCTTTCCCCAGCCTGTCAAAGACTTAAGGGGGTTATTGGGAGCTCCTCCACCAGAGGCCCCAGCTACTATAGGTCCCTATAGCAGAGGACCCCTGCAGACAGCTCTAGGCGGGATTCATTCAGTACTGGGCTGCGGGGCGGGGATGGGGTGTCAGGGGACCAGCAGTCTGCACAGGGGTTTCCAGTCTCTCTCCTATGTGCCAAGAATGGCCCTGGGAACAGGAGGTAAGAAGTGTCCAGGTTGGCCACATTCCCAGCCTGGAACACTTTCTACTATACCAGAAACAAATCACTTGGACTCTGAATCTAATTTCCTCACTCATAAAGTGGAGGGAACACCTCTCCCTAAACCTGGGTGATGGGTAAGAAAGGGATTGGGCTGTGAGAATGTCAAGGCCATTAACTGATAGAGGAAGGCGGAGCCTGAGATTAGCTGCTGGGATTAGCTCGGCCACCAGCCCTCCCCACCCGACCCCTTTTCATGCCCTGACTTAATCCTGAACCTTAATCCTGCTTGGAAATCCCTCTCCTTCCGCGGCTGTCTCCTGCCATGCCTCAGCCTTGATGGGAGCTCACTGGGGGACCAGAACCCAAGGAGGAAAAGAGGGAGT